TAACAAATTAAATTAAATATTTATCCAAATAAAAAATAATATCAAATCAAATTTTATTAATTAATCATCATTAAATTATAATTATTTATATTAATCAGAATTAAAATTCTAAATTAATTTATAATTAAATCACCATTTTCTCATCAAATTTTTTTTCTTTAACGAACATTATAATTTCTCAATAACCAATCTCGGCAACCAAACAAATTCAAAGCATTTTCTCAGCATCCAAACACCCAAACTATATCATTTTCCAGCCAAACAAATGAAATCCCACTAAGAATTGCTTCTTTGCCCAACTGCTTTTGTTCTGTCCATTTCCATTTTGAACATATAACAAACATATAATGTCTTGGATAATCTCTTCGCAAACCAACATATAACAAAAAAAAAACAAACAAACAAAAAAGTGGAGCTGGGTTCGACGGAATGCAGCAAAGGAACCCAGCTCGAACCAAGCAAACTAGGTTCATCGAACCCGAGCTGGGTTCGATGGAACCCAGCTCGAACCCAGTCATCGAACCCAGTCATCGAACCCAGCAAACTGAGTTCCACCGAACCTAGATCTGCTGGGTTCGAGAAACCCAGTTGCTGGGTTCGACGGAACCCAGCAGATCTAGGTTCCTCGAACCCAACAAATCTGGGTTTGATGGAACCCAAGCTGGGTTCCGTTGAACCCAGCGACATAGAGGAAGAAGAGGAAGAAAGAAAAAGAAAAAGAAGAAAGGAAGAAGATGATCGAAAGAGGGGAGGGGAGGAAGATGGATAAAAAAAGGGAGATGGGTAAATTTGTAATTTTTTATTTTTTTATTAAGGCAAAATCGGTTGATGAGTTGGTGATGAGTTGGCGATGAGTTGGCAATAACGTGGCTTAAAAAAAATTCCAGATCAATGTTTTTTTAAATTATTTTTGCCATGTCATAAAAAAAATTATAAAAAATGCCACGTGTCGTAGTTAGCGGTCTAAATTGACAGAATGACTAACGGTGTGCATTTTTTAGAGTTGAGAGATCAAAAAAGTGCAAAAAATTATTAAGGGACCAAAAATGTGCAACTCACTAAAGTTGAGTTAAGAAATCAAATTTAGCATTTAACTTTTTTTTAATTCATGTTTTAATTAATATATTTTTTAAGTTGTTAATTTATATAAAAAATAAAAAATTAATATTAATATTATTTAAAAGCTCCGACTGCATCAAATATTACAATTTGTGAAAAATTAAACTTGATAAAATTAAATCCAATCCGAAAATCCGACTCAACACATCGTCGAGTGATGGGTCTTATGTGTTAATCTAAAATCTAAAATGATCCGAATTGAAATTATCCAAATCCAAATGAATTCGATCACAAGTGGATCAAGTCACAGGTGAGTCAAGTCATTTGAAAT